CCCCAAAACCCCAAAACCCCAAAACCCCAAAACCCCTTTAATTAAATAATAGATTGAACTAAAATATCTATAACATGCTTGATTTTATCTTTACTTTCAACTGTGCGCTCGCTTGGATAGTCGGTCTGTATACTTTCATCCACACTATGTGTATGATAACTAGGTGACTCATCAGGAACTATCTCAGGCAGCAGCTCGACCTAGCTCAGAGATACGGTTCTGATTCTTGGGTCGTCGTAACTGGAGCTACTGGGGGACTCGGTCAACAGTACTGTTCTCAGTTAGCAAAGTGAGGTTTTAACATTGCGATGCTTGGTAGAGACAAGCTCAAATTGCAGGAAGCAGAAAAAGCATTGCAAACTCAATACTCAAAGGTGAAGACTAAAGTTGTTTTGGCTGACCTAGGGAAAAATATGGATGCAGACTTCTATCAACACATCTGTGAACAAGTAAGTGGACTAGATATTTCTATTTTGGTCAACAATGCAGCATGGACAGACTTGTACTCCTTTGAGTGTATTGCCTTGCAAGATAACTTGTCTAGAGCTAGGCTCAACATGGGAGCTCCAGCATTGCTATGAAATCTATTGATAAACAAGCTTATGAGCAGAACACACAGAAGCGCAATTATCAATGTATCTTCTGTGGGGCAAACTTGTCCAAGTCCATACACTGGTGATTACTCTGGATCTAAAAGGTTTTTGACACTTCTATCTCTCCACTTGCATGATAACTACTCTTCCAAGATTGATATCCAAGATTTACAGCCAGGATATGTGACAACTAACATTGCGAGGAACTACAAAGGAGCTGATGCTATAACTGCAGAAAGATGTGTCAAAAGTAGCTTGAGAGATCTTGGTCAAGAGGTATCTACAATTCCAGTAATGGTCCATAGCTTTATGGCTCAATTTATGCATTTTGTATCCAGATTCAGCATGCCTTTGTACAAGGCTACAGTTGTGAAAGGATGTGAAAAATTCGCTCTTGAGAATTTTAAGAAAGACTATCAATCGAGATAACCGAATTATTTTTCAACCATATATCTTTAATGCGGGGTTTTGGGGTTTTGGGGTTTTGGGGTTTTGGGGTTTTGGGGTTTTGGGGTTTTGGGG